ATCCGTGATCTTCAAGCCGGTTGACTTCAGTCTCTTGGCACTTCCCACATCCTCCTTGCCATGGCATTTTAAGAAATGCTCCTATAGCTTTGCTCGATGATTTTTAAAGGATCGGCCCATTTGGAAGTCAATCACAATAAAACAAGTCGACATCAAAATTTATCTATAAAATAAATACGAAAATGACACAAAATTCATTAAGGATAATGAACAAGAATGACACAATATTAGAAACATAATTTATGGTTATCTTACCAAAATCCTCTCGCGAAGACTAGCCTTGACAGATTTAGGAACCTTCCTCCAATTCATGTAATTGAAGGGACAATACTCCTTACGACATATTATGTCGCATTCATTCATTGTTAAACTTTTAGGAGTTTGGCCCAATAGCTTGCCTAAACTCCTCGCAAAACTCTACAACCAACCTAACTCATTTGCACCTCAACGCATTTCTTTGGAAGTAACCAAAGGGTCATTGGCTTGGCGGTACCCGGGTTAGGAGTAGAACCCAACCTCGCTGGAGGTCAAGGGTCCAAGAAACTGAAGTTACCTTAATGAGAATTTGCTTGTCAAGAAGCATAAAGCGCCATCACCACGTAAAGCTGAGTTGCTGGTATATTCTGCAAGGAAATACTACGCAAGGGATACATGCATGCTAAACTGTCTGATAAACGTGGGGGCTGTAGAAAGGAAGATGAAATGCTATGCAAAGGATAATCAGTTATCTGATCTCTACACACCAATTCAGTAAGTCAAAGAAATCAGGAATTCATGATTGAAGTTCAAATATAATATTGAGATCAATATCTCATGAAAAATATATCTGCAAGAACAAGAACAATTACTTCCTTCCAGCAAGATAATATCTTTATATCAAATATGAAATTGACAACAGATAGTAATTTAACCAATTTATATGAAAGATACTATCTTCAAATCAATAAAATGATTATAATGCAAATCAAACGTCTTCTTTGCAAATCATGTGTACTACAAATGATGTTATGAAATAAATATGTCATTCTCCAATTCCTGATTGAAATCATCTAGTATTAGGGTTTATTATTATTATTACCCATTTGAATACCAAAACTCATGGATTCAGTAATATACTACACATCAGTTCCTGGTGGAGGAGTAACAATGCCCATCCACATTGTCTTCTGCCTACTCAATCACTCATGGCTTGTCATTTGACCTAGCTAATTAAAACCTGAATTATTTGAGAGAATAAGGGTGATTGGTTTCACTATTGTAACACAACACCGAGTTAACTTATCACTTCTATATATAACAGTTCGATATATCACATAATCAAATGAAATGATCTTAAAGGTAAAAAGAAGATAATCCAAGTCAAATGATTATTTACCAAATAAAGCAAACTCCTGGTTGATTGATTGCAATGAATCAGTCAGTCGTGGATTTTAATGCAAACAGAACCAAGAAATCACAAATCGGTCAATCCTGTAACCAAAACAAACCTAATTTTACAGTATTAAGAGATAACTTCCTAATTGATTGCAATGAATCTCCAAAAAGAAGATATGAAGACGAACTCGAAGTTGAGTACCGTAATCGATGAATCCTGAAGCCCAAAATCGAGAAATCGATGAGAAATTGTGCATAGGTCGCTGTTAACACAATCAACCAAATAAACAAATAAAAGTCAAATGGGACGAATTTGAACGAATAACGGTGGAGAAAGCAAGCGTCCGTTTACCAAAAATCTAGAGCAAGGACCAAAAATTTTACATAAGAATTTTATCCAATAAATATTTATTGGGTAAATTGTTACATACAAATGTGTATGTCGTTTTAGTAGATTAAAATTTTTACCTAATAAATAAATGATAGTATTGAATTTTATCGATAAACGTTAGAGGTCTTTAAATTACAATTTCCATTCTGATGACTTGTTAATACTTTTCATTCTTGTCCTTGTGGTTTAAAATTTATGATTTTATTCTCTATCATTTGTAATTTGTTATAAATTTATATCTTTAAATACAAGCAACTAAAACAGTAAAAAATTGTAAACCATATCAAATAAACCATAAGGACATAAATAGCCGAGATGAAAGTTGCAATTTCTCAACCACAGGGATGAAACCCGTAATTTTTAACAAACTACAAGGACTAAATAGGTAATTTACTCTAAATTATAAGTCCAACCATTGCTGAACTTAACACCAAAAAGTTCTTTCTCGCAGAAAAGCGCCCCGTGCACCCAACCGCTCACCGACGCCGGCGATCCTTGCCCCCCATTCTTCCGACTACTACCTTCCCCACTCCTCCTGTGGTGAAAACAGGTAATATTACGGTTTCATTCATTAATCCTCTATTTTCAAGAAAATCGATCAAAGAAACCCTCCGTTATTGTAATTTCTTCTTTATTTTCTTGACCACCTGCAACTTCTTACAACTCATCAATGGTGGGTTTTTTGACGCAAGACTCACGAGTTCATATATCTGTGTTTTGATTGCAGATCGATTATGGGTCGTGCGAAGCTAAGAATGGAACTCATAACGGAAGAGAAGACCCGTAACACCAGTTACCAGAACAGGAAACATGGGATCATCAAGAAGGCTAAAGAATTATCTGTTCTTTGCGATGTCGATACCGCTATCATCGTCTACCCTCCTGATTCTAACCACCCCGAGATTTGGCCCGAAAACGCTGATCAAATGAAGAAGACGATTGGTTCTTATAAAGAGAGAAAGAAGGAAAACAGGAAGAGAACTTATGATCTCATTGACTACTTTCAGGACCGGAAGAGAAAGATCGAAGACGAGTTTGTTAAGGCCCGGAAAAGAAACATGGAAGCGAAGTACCCGACTTGGTTCGACGAGCTTAACGGTTTATCGGAGGGGCAACTGAGACAATTTGCTATTGGATTGGAAAACAAGGAGAAGATTGTGAGAGCCCGTCTCGAACTCAAGAAGAGAAACTTTAATGCGCAAATGCCGTTTGAATTCGAGCTCGAGAACAACCAGCCGTCGACTAATCACTTTGTGGGTTCGTACCCGAGTCTTGATCAGGTTCAGGCGATGAACGATGAGGTGATAAGCAATGATCTTGGGTGGTTCGATGATGCATCAAATACGCAGATGTCATTCAAATTCGGGCTCAACAACAACCAGCTGCCTAATCACAATGTGGGTTCGCACCCGAGTTCCGAGCAGGTTCAAGCTTGCAACCACGACCTCATGAGCCATGTTCTTGGGTGGTTCGATGATGCACCGAATGCGCAGATGCCGTTCGGGTTCGAGCTCAAAAACAACCAGCCCGCTAATCCGTATGTGGGTTCATACCCAAGTCTTGATCAGGTTCAAGCGCTGAACCAAGACCTGATGAGCCAGGATGTTGGGTGGTTGGATGATGCAGCGACCAGTTCGTTCACACCATTGAAGCCTGAAATGAGTGGGTTCGGTCATTCGGTTAATTACGAGAAGTCGAAGCCATCGATGCCGAAAGAGTTGGCATTGGAAGATTGATTATGATAGGGTTAATTAAGCACTTAATTGTTGTGGCATTTTTCATGATGGTTTGAATGAATTATGATATATATGATGGACGTTGGCATGCAAAATTAAACATAAAAAAGAGATGAAAAATGCGCATCCGGGGAATCGAACCCCGGTCAGTACCGTGGGAGGGTACTATGATACCACTACACTAGATGCGCTCTTTGCTTTTCCTGTCGCCCTTTTTCTATTTATTCTTACTTCTGTTTACCAAATACTTATCGGTGGAATTTAATATTATTATTTACTTATCGGGTTATATTTTAGTTCACCAAAATGACATCGCATGCAACAATTTATCCGGTAATCGCTTACCGTGGTAAGAGTCGTCGCTCTCACTTACCGGGTAAGATTATTGGTCCTTACCATATTCATCCGGTTAGATAATATGACTTGGTAAACGCTTACCCGAGTAAGCGTTTGATAAACGCCCATTGTTACATCAAATTTTGCACTACACTTTTTATTACTAGTCATATACTCATTTTGTCATGATATTTTTATGTCTATAATAGTTTTATTCAGCAATCAAACTTTACAAGATCATTTTTTCGAAGATAAAGTATACCGAACGTTTGAACAAATTTCACACCAAAATATTGCTTGATCCGTTTCGTTAACGTCTCCAACCCTAAGTCATTCCATAGCGAATGCACGGACACCACCACTTCCTCTAATCACTTCATCGAACACTTACGCTGCCTAATTTGTTTTCATTTCTTCATAGGTAATTTGATTTCCGATTTCTTGATAGGAAATGATTTTTTTTATTAACCTGGATATCCAACCTGCTATACGAGCCGACTAATCCCAGGACGACCACCTGCTTTGCAGGTAGCCCTGATTCATCGTATTTGAACCTCCGTGGCCATAAGAGAATTTTTGTTTTTTTTGGATTTGAACCTCCAAGCACTTTTGACCTTTGGAGCCAAACTCGAACCAATCAAGCACCACCTTGTGGTTAAATGATCAAAACAATCTACTAACTAACCCTTTTGATATTTGTTTCTAATGAACCCAAGATCACAATATCTGATGCGCATCGACTTGAAAATTCTCATAGTCCTTTACTTCACCAGGATTTGAATAGTCCTCGTAGCCAAGATTGAAACCCTGAAGCAGAATAACATCTTTTTACCTGAATAGACTGCTAACTCGTATAGCTGATTGTTCCTCATCAGTGGTTTTAGCGTGTATTTCTTGTGATAACAAGCTAGTGTTGATGTTATTAAATTTGCTTTATGCATATGCAGATAATTAAGTAAAAAGGAAATTGGTGAGGACGGTGGAAGAGACGCCAAGGATTGAACTATGAACTCGAACGTGGACCTGGTTGTTCGAATTTCAACACATCGAGTGTGTATTTCTATCGGCCAATCCAACTTCTTTGGTGAAGACAGACATAGGATTATGTTCGAATAAAAAACCTCACCTCCATTTCACAACATCAAGCTCGACTATCGAAAAAGGGGAAATGAAAGCTTGTTACATTAATTAAGAAAAACTGTTATACTTGATAAGAACTTGACCAAAATTCATTACATCTTGATGTGTTTACTTCACTCCAAATGCTCATTTCCAATAATCCAAAGTTGTTGCAACCAATTTCATTAAGCTACAAGATGTAACTCGATTTCCAACATTAAGAGATCAATACATAGTAACATAGACAATTTGCGTTGCTTCTGCTCCTGCTCCTGCCTCAATCCGAGAAAGCACCTGCCCAGCTGAATTCGAATACTGGAAAAACTACACCCAACATACAACACGCATTCACTTCCAACTTTCCCACACATCGACATATACACAACCAAACAACTATATGAAAAATAAATGCCGCTTCCGTCTAAAAATAATTGTCCACGTTTCTATTTTGGTTTGTTACGAAATAAGTGTCTAGTTTCCAAATTCTACCTTTAATTATGAGATGGAGAAATTCATTACTCCCTCTATTATTAATGGCATTTCCAATGGCTGGGTCTTTGACGAGTAAATTGTCATATCAACTTGGTAAAAACCGGTTATTGTGAGACCGTAAAAAGGTGTGGACTAGTTTTTATGGTCCCCCAAGCCATTTAATTAATGAATTCACTCACTCTCTTATATTGTAAAAAAAAGGTGTGGACATTTATTTTGGGACGGAGGGGTACTAGAAAAGAACTTTCACCTCTTTAGCAACCTCTTCAGATTTTCGCTGTAATATTTGCTGTGTAGCTGCTGCTGATTCTTTCTCCATATTGATCTTCTCATTTATAGCAGCTCCCTAGCAGGTTTCAAAGAAAATAAAGAAATAAGGGGCGCTTACCCGAGTAAGTGCTTACCAACAAAAATTGAACACTATCACTTACTTACCAGGTTAGGTTTTAGTCCACCAAAACGGTATCATATGCAACAATTTACCCAGTAAGTGCTAACCATGGTAAGAGATGTTGCCCTCACTTACCGGGTAAGACTCTAGGTCCTTGCCTTCGCTCTTACGGGGTAAGATTCTTGGTTCTTGCCATATTCATTCTATAAGGTAATGTGACTTGGTAAGCACTTACTTTGGTAAGTCTTTCGTAAATGGCCCCTAAGTTATAAATGACCAAAGGGTCTTTGGCCTAATGGTATCTGGGCCTTTGGCCTCCCAAGAGGTGAGGAGTTCAAACCTCACCTAAGGTGAGGAGGGTGTGTGAGTTTATTTATTGCATTTGCTGTATATAAATACTATATACTTCAAAAATTTGTTATAAATGCTTTTCACAAGAAAGTTTTAAAAGAACATCCATACCTCCGCAACCAGAGCTTCTACGTTCCTTTGCCTTTGTTCCAGACCATGGCTATTATATTCAACTTGTGATCTCACATTGTTTAGTTCTTTTGAGGCCTCTTCACACTTGAGATCTCTTTCTTTTTCCAACTGTTTTAGTAATTCCTCTAATTGGTCCGCTGGGAAACAAAATTAAAAATCCTTAATTTAAAGCTTTTTATGAAGTTAGCTTAAGCTGAGAGAAGAAGAACCACCTCTGCCTTGTTGTTCATGTAATTTTACTTCAAGTGATTTGTCCAACACCCCATCATCACTGTTCTTAACTTTCAGAACCTTCACATCTTTCTCAACCTGTTTCCCGGAGTTCATCTGTTCAAAAACCAATAGGCCTCAGACCATTTTTTTTATAAAGCAGCCACCTTTAAGGATAACTTTGAAAAACCAGATGATTGCGAAGACACACGAATCCTTACAAATCACTGGCCTCTGTTCATTTTGAAGAAATAGTTACACGTTACATTTTTTTTTTATTAACCTGGATATCCAACCCGCTATGCGAGCCGACTAATCTCAGGGCAACCACCTGCTTTGCAGATAGCCCGGAGTCACCGCATTTGAACCTCCGTGGCCACAAGGGGATTCTTATTCCTCCTTGGATTTGAACATGGAACCTCGTGGTACTTTTGACCTTTGGAGCCAAGCTCAAACCAATCAGGCACCACCCTTGTGGTTCACACGTTATGATTTCCTGATCACTTTAATCAAATTCAAACCAAAACCATGAAAATTATAGAACCTGTTCTTGTAACGTCTGCATCTGCTTTAAATGCTTGGTCATTTTCTTGCTAGCCTGAGAAAGAACATACATGCAAAGACAATCATTATATTTTACACAAATAGATAGGCAAGCATATTGTCATTTCTGTGTCTACATGCAAACAAGTTTTTTTCAAGAATTGGAAATGCCGTTCTCTGATCAATAACTGTGCAACAACTCGAAGCAGGTTGGAAAGAGAATTTAACTTCCTTTAAAAAAAATGAAATTATCACATTGAAGTCAACCATTTATGGTACTGAACTTGACTTCAAGACCAATCTATAGATTCAACCATAAATTTCTAGTAGCCGTGCAAGTTCAATTTGAGGTTCTAAGTTAGTGTTTGGGTTTTCAGAACAAAGAAGACAACAGAAGGAGAATAAAAGCATTTTAATTTCAATCAATTGCTTTCTTTCAAGATCTTGGATCTTCAAGTAATAATTTCTTTATATACACCAATAGGTTTGGCAAAAAAACAGATTGAAATTAACGTCGTTTCGCCCTTCTCATTTTGGCTAAGCTTGGAAAATGTTAGATCTTTGCTTACCTTTGGTCAAAGCTAGAACTACAGTAAATACCAATACTCCCTCTGTTTCAAAAAGAAATGCAACAGTTATTATTTTGGTTTATCTCATAAATGCAACATTCCTTTTCTGAAAGATTCCTTTGAAGATTTACCTATTTGCCATTACAACGGTTACAAAATATGGATGAGATTGATTGTGATCCACAAGTTGTTCATGGATCAGAAGACTTTTCATTGAGCTACATATCAAGATTCAAGTCAACTGTTGCATTTGGGCATGAAGGGAATACTAGTTGCATTTGGGGATGAAAGGGTGTACCATCCCTTTCACATGCACTGTCCCTGCTTCCAATAGACTAGACAACTCCTGTGGTACACTAAAACACAAATTCAATCATTTTATAAAAATGGCTCTGTTCTCTTTTCTCTAACATGAAATTGCCTAACTTCAGATATAATCTCCAGATCACAAAGCTAAAGCAAGTGCACAGGAAAAGTCCTAAGATATGAAAACCAAGAGCATTCCAGAACCTTCTGTTAAAAAATGACACTGACTTGGCAATTCCTTTCTCTAACCACCAAGCATAAAAGTAGCGACAAAAAGATAATATGGATTATTTGACTTAATACCTTTGTGTATACTTCAAGGATGGCAGTTTTTTTATGAAATGACTGCATTGCCACTCTTTCTGCATCCTTTGCCTCAACTTGAACTGCTTTCTTCTCCTCCAGTGCCCTCTTCAAGTTGTTAAATCAAATAAATAGTTAACAAAGATAATTAAAAAAATGGATAAGATAATGTTGCTGGAGATAGAGAAAGCTCTAGGCTCTGTTCCACACCCAATTTTACAAGATGGCACATGTTGTACAGGAACCAAAGTGATATTTTAGGGAGTCAATTGTGATGGTTTAATGTTATGATAATTGCATCAGATCTTCTCAAAATTTCAAACAGAACCAATGAAAGTATTTCAAAACTACAAATTCAGATGGGACATCATATGCCTTCAACTCACAGACGTTGCAAATGGTAACTTAACCTCCATTATCTATAAACTACAATGGTCTAAAGATGACAGTTAGAATAACTTCTACCTGTAGTTTATCTGGAGATTGAACAATTTTGGAACGCAGGCTGGCATTTTCTTGAGCACTTTGTACCAAAGCAAACTCAGCACTAGAAATCTGAACAACACCATAAAAGATTATAAGACTTCAAAGAAGGATACATAAATCCACTGATCTAAAAGGATAAAAAAGAAGGATGCTAATGTTGATAATATGTGCTACATTTTTTAAATTGTTGTGTTAGCACACTTGCATAAACTAAATGATAATAGTTTGACGTGAATTCCAATACAAATGAAACTAGAAACACCCCTTAGCATAGCTCATGTAGAATGTTCAGTGGTTGTACACAAACATTGGTTCATCAAAAGTTAGAAATCAGATAGAGCTTATTATAACCTTGAGAAACTTATGTTTGTGATTTGAAGTGATCCATGACATGTAAAAAAGACTACCTAAACAGATTTCAACACATTTACTTTCAGTTACGGCAGCTTGTAAAATCATTCCTAACATGTGTAAGTTGCAATAGATAATTGAGTGGATGATAACACTTGAGCATCGTGATTTAACCTTTACACTACCTAATGATTGGATGGCATTTCAAGTGTTGTATTTCAAAAGTCTTCACGGCATAATGAATCGAAAGTCCAGGCAACAACAAGTGTACCTTCTCATCCATTTCCTTAGCTGCATCCTTCTTTTTTCTAAATGTACTCTTCAGGGACATTTGGTGATTGTTAAGAGCTGAAATGGACTGGCGCAGCTCTTTAATTTTTGTGTCAACTTCTTGAATTAGAGGCATCTCCCTTTCTCTTGATTCATTAAACTCTGATATGTCTGTGTTCAACTACAATGAATATAGACATAGTTAGCTCATCTTATTTGAATCTGATTGATTAACGAAGCACCCACACTTCTTAGACCTACCTGTAATATTCTAGCCTCGAGCTCTTGTCGTTGCTCATCAAGAAGTGTCAAATCTTCCACGGCCGGTCTTAATAGATTCATTCTTGTGTCTCTAGAATGAGCAGACAGAACAAGTTATGCAGATGACAATGGTAAAAAGTTCTCATGTTTATAAGTGGATATTACTTCCAACTTAAAAGGGGCCCATAAATACTTCACATGCTACAACATATGCACTACCAAGCACATAAAATATGTGTAAATACCCACTTCACCATCCATACAAAAAAAAATTATCAATTTGTGTATTGAATTTAATTGGTTAAAGCTTAAGACAATTTCTAGGCTCCCTCCAAGTAGTTTCCAATTCGAGCACATGGATTCTATTTCCTAAACATAAATGGTTATTTTGGTAGGATCTAGTAACCAGTCAAGATAGTAAAAAGGGTACATTTGTATTTTTAAGCTTGAATAGCTATAATCACAAGATGCTTGATGCAGCTTGAAATTTCCAATTACAATTCCAAAAAAGCACAGACTCCCTAATTCAAACAATCTGAAAACACCAGTAACATGTCATCTAAATCTGATCTGTCAACAAGATCAGTGTATAAGCATAAGCAGGAAAAAAAATTCCAAAAGGATGAATGAAACTGAAGAAAATACTTGTGAAGGCAAAAGTTGAGGACGGCACTAAGAAACAACTCAGTGCGATCGGCTTCAGGCTTAATGAGATCTTTCAAAGTGAACTTCTTAGGGCAATCAAGAGCAGAAATGACTTCCTTTATCTTCTTAAACAAATTCATCATTCTGACCGAATCAACATGTAAGTCCGGGTTCTCAAGTTGCTCTAGGTCTGCAAATTCGACTAGCCCGTAATCTTCCCTGAAAAACAAAAAGATTGATACTTGGAAACATGGAAAGATATAGTTTTAGAAAAGTATAAATAGATAAGGGTTTAGAAACGTGTACTGAAGACATCCGATGTGGATGAGTATTTGTGTATAGAGATTGGAGGTGAAGTCAGGGCTAGGGTTAAGGAGATCGGCATCGGACACGGAGGCAATTTGGGATTCCGCTAGTACTCCGATGATCTCCCTGCGGGGAAGTCTCGGATAATCGAACTTAGACATCTTCTCCGGCGTGTGTGTGTGTGTGTGTGTGTGAGATCTCAGGGTTTATGTGTGTTTTTTCCCGCCAGACTGAATTAAAAAGCCGATTTTTTGGGCTTTGATTAGGAAAATAGATGATAAGAAGAAGAGCAAACTTCACTTTTGGTTCCATTTGAGAATTTTTTAAATCGTGATTTATGAGTTTAAGTTGGTTGTCTTGTATTGATGTCGTTAAGTGGTAAACGTCTGATTCGGTCAGACGTTCTCTTGTGTTGGATGGATTTTAAAAAAGGTCTGAATGATTCAATTAACCTTCAATCGCTCCTTCACCATCTACTTCCCAAATGATTCAGATATACAATTTTCCCTTTTTTGTCCTCCTTGCCTCTTCCGGTTCGTCTCTATGCTCTTCTCTCTATCGATTCTCCCATTCTTTTCTACTCTCTCCTCTCGATCGATTGTTGAATACCACCGTTGCAATATCGGTTGGAAACCAACGATGCACCATCTGTTGGAATCGCACCGGTGCATTCCTGTAGAAAACCTAGCGATGACCCCTGGGTTTGAACTTGCGTTTCATGTGATGTTTTGTTATCCTAAAACTTGAACAAACAATTGTTACGCTTGTTTAGATTGATATGATATCATGCATTGGGTTGGACCGTTAATTATTTTCTATTTTTTGTTTAGAAATTTCTATCAGAACTTCTGTCGGACGTTAATTTTCATTAAACACAAGACTGGGGATAAAATTGTTATTTTATGTCATTTAGACTGTTGATTCAGAACAGTTCCCAAACAATCATTTTCTATCTAACACTAAATCATACAGAGTCTCTTAATCATTCTGATCACTTAATCATCCAGTATTTGCCAAACAACCTCGAAGTAAATAAAATTTGACAAATGTTAGAGACTATATAAAATGAGAAGATGATGAATCCAAAAAAATATTTGTTTAAAAATATATAATTGGCTCATTTCGTTCAAATAAATTTTAAAAAAAAGTTAATATATATCATATAATAACAAATGTTAGTGAGTATATAAAAGAAAAAAATAATAATATCAAACGGTATCAAAAAGATGATGAATTGAAATTATAAAGGAAGAACTACAAGTATATATTATATTATATATATATATATATATATATATATATATATCCATAAAGAACCATGTGCCATTGTGAGATTTAGGTATTCTCAAATATTTTATTGTGATATTGTTTTATTCATTCCACATTGATGAGTGAATGAAAGACCGGAGAGTTAAGGCAATTATAAGAAACAGGGACATTTGCAAGTGAAATTGTATTTTTATGATATCTAATACGGTGGTATATGTTTCAACTCCATATTGCTGATTCTGTGCTACGTAGGACATCTATTGAAGAAGCAATTCAAAGTATGCATGGAAGCTATCCAGATTGGTCAATTTGTAGTCCACCTTTTTTGGGACAAGAGTGCAACTTCTAAGCAGGTGAAGTTTTAGTAGTTTTTTAAATGAGAATTTCATGATATGAAATAAATAGCCCATTTCAGCAAAAAAACAGTAGAAGAAGGTTCATTATGGTCTACAAGCTTAAAATTTTATAGCTCAAGGTCAAGATGCAATTTTACTGAAATAGTTATCTATCATGATCAGCTTTCTAGCGTTTCTTTTACCACTAAAATTGCAACATAAGATGGCTCAAAGTGTTTACTTTTATGCCACAGTCGATAAAATAGTGTTTCAAAGGGTTAGTTCTTTTATATCATGTTGTATTCAGTTAGAACAAACGTAGAGCTTTAAGAGATTGCTGATATACAATAATACAAGATATTTCTATTTGGTGCATTTAGTAGCATCATGGGTATCACCACAAGCACATAGTTCAATACACCCCTCTCAAATCATCAATATCAGTTGCTCAAAGATGGCAGTGTATATGCTTTGGGTAAATCCTCTGGGCACGTTAGTCGGTTGATATTCTTGACAAGGTCTGCCTGTATTTCTTGAACTTAGAATGTATGTCACTCTATTTCTTTATAAAGTCCAATGGGTCCAATTTTCTCCTTCTAGCAGTTTACACTGCTGTGAGCTAACATTTCTTAGTAATAACCGTTTGCATTGTAACTTATATAGCTTATGATGTTCCCTAACTCAAGGAACCAAAATCAGTAGCCTATGTTTTCTCCCTAAGTGTCTGTGAATATACATATGTTTCTCTACAACAGCACACTATGCTTTCTTAACCATTCTTTATCGCAGGTAACTAACTCAGGCTTCCTAACAATACTACCGGGATTGATCCATCGAGGTAATTAGTTTTTCATTTTGAACCAACATACATCTACTGCTTTTTAGTTTCATTTTTCTATCTATTGGAATCGATTTTGATTTGTTTGTGTTTAGTATTAGTTAGTTTGTTTGTGTTATTTTTAATTTTATGTTATCTAATTAGTTGTGGGTGGAAAATGGTTCTATTTTCTGCTTTTAAAAAGATAGAAACAGGTTCATGGTTACCAAGTAAATACCGATTTTATCTTTTGCTTTCTATCATTTTTTTTAACAAGTAAAGTTGTAGAAATAGGTTCTACTTTTTGCTGCTTTGTTACTTGTAGTTAGTTAAACAGATTGTATAATGATAATACATCCAACCTTTCTTTTTTGTCAAGGATCAAATGGATTGCTTGAAAATTTTATATTGTATCAGCTTGCTTTCTTGGAACCAATTTCGATTTGTTTGTGTTTAGTATCAATCGGTTTGTTTGTATTGAATTTGGTTTGTTTGTTTTCAGTATCAATTGATTTCTTGAACCAACATACATCTATTACTTTGAATTTTTTTTTTATCCATCGATGTCTTAATCGTACACCTGTTACTTTGTACTGGCAGAATCCGGTTATCAGGTCTGGATTACAGAAGATACCGGAATTGGAGAAGAAGTTCGAAATGGAAGTTCAAAAAGATGATATAGCAAATGAAGCAAACATTTTGGATGATGATAATGATAGTTTGAAAATATGAGTCTCCTACTAATTCAAATTAGCACCCATAGAAATCGATCTCAAGATTTCTTGATCACGATTAGCAACACCCACAAAAATCAGTAGCCAGATCAATCTCAAGATTTCTTGATCATGATTAGTAATGTCAAATCTGGCTAGTAAGAAAGAAAGCTTGTTAGATTATCTGAAGCAGGACATCCCCCATAGAAATGATTAGCAGTTTTGTTCACGATACTCTGTAGATCATTTTGTTTAGAGGACCCAACCCAAATTTTTATATAACAACAGGAACAAAAATTTTAATGTACTCTGTTTTAAAAATAAAAATCAAGAATAAGTTACGTTTTTGTCTATATGGTTTGTTAGAAATTGCAATTTACGTCCATATGGTTTAGAAATTGCGGTTTTCATCCATATAGTTTGTATTGTTATTATCATCCTTATGATTTACGATTTATTGTTGTTTTGGTCCATGTGGTTTAAAATTCTTTATTATTTTGGTCTCCTGTATATATATATATATATATATATATGTGTGTGTGTGTGTGTGTGTGTGTGTGTGTGTGTTTTTACTGCTGGTTTGGGTGGCCTTATACGAGGTGATTGTGTAAAATGTAATGGTGAAGAGGTTTGCAGCTGTGTAATCTGTAGGGGAGAAATGTCTTCAAGACTGGCTATGTCTTGAGAATCCTGTAGATAACTGTGTAAATCTGTCTGTGAGAGTTGTGCCTTATGTGCTGCGTTTATGGCTACATGCATAAATTTATCTGTAGAAGTTGTCTGTTTCTCTTCATCAGAAGAAATACTCATTAATGATGAGCTTTTCTTTGGCTGTATAGGCTGTACAACCTTTCGTTTTCCTTTGTCTCGTTTATCCATCTGCAGAAATTAACATGTATGTCTATTTATATATCTGGTATATACCTTTTTCCAGTGGTTTCTAATTCTAATCTCYTCATCTATTTCGTTTAATTCTTGTTTCTCTTTTTCATAAGATTTTATTTGATCATC